TCTCTCACGTTCCACCCTATTTTTCAAGAAAAAGAGAAACACAGGATGGTTTTCGCTCCCGTCGCGCTGTCAAGACGCTCGCAGCTGTTCTTCGCGATACTTCTTGTACTCCCGTTTAGAGGGTAGAGGGAAGGGGGAGACGGTTCGAGAGCACAACACTCACGACACGATGAAAATTCACCCCACGACTCTTTTATTCTTGGAAACGAGTGCCTCCCGCGGTCGTTCGGAAATGCCACATTGCTTACACCGAAATTCGAAGAAATCCGAGGGGGTAAACAGCATCTGTGCGAGCGCACGCCTCGCCCCGAATAAATCTAATCCCTGTGCGACATTCACGATCCGAATTCGGCACGAAACTTTTAAATCCATCCGTTTTGGAACGGTGTCGACGAACCGGGGGAAACTTCAAAGTACTTCGCCTCTCGATTGGTGATTTCGATTTCAATAATCGACTCGGTGAATCGAAATTGGGTTACTTTCGAATTGCTAACAACTTATTTCGTAGACACTTTGTTTTCGTAAACAAAATTTTAGAAGAACAACTCTTGTCTTTAACATTTATAATTTTATAATTTTATATTTATATAATTTTATATAATTTTATAATTTCTTCTGTGACGTAATATTCATAATATTTGTGTAACGGTGTAAAACGAAGAGGAATTACAATTTATTGAATTAAAATTAAAGATGGAAAATAATAATTTTTCTTTTTAAATTAATCAAACAGCATGTTTTCAAGATACTTATTGGATAAAGAACGAACGTAAAATAAAAATCTGAAATATGCATTAACAAATTATTCTGGTATCATCCGACTCGAATAGTATCGATAAAAATAGTGTCAGCAGAATGAGTTGGCGATCCAAAGGTAATCCATTGAAATCATCCCATTTATATCGAAGCAGAAACCTCGAGAGCACGCGAAACGTCTTCTAACTTTAATCGAGTTTGAAGAAAGCACAACTCACCTTGCAACCATGTCCAATGTGGCTTAGCAATATCTTCCTTACCTGTGACAGAGAGAAAATTCTACATGAGGATTCAACGTTCTTTGATTCAACTCAAATTTGGAATAAATATTATACAAGAATAATATAGAATATTGGATTTCATGGATTATTAAAACTTAATTAATAAATGTATTCGTTCAAATACTTCTCTTACATCGTATCGTATAACTTACAATACACATTAAAAAATTCAACTTCGAGTTCATACATTTCTACTGTTCAATATTTTAACAGCGAGTGTTCGAGAATACTTTTCTTGTATATGTGAACACGCGTATAGGAAACAACGAGCATGTAATAAATCTGTTTCAACGATCGAATTCGATATCGAGGGATGGAAGGAGAGAAAGTATCGTGTATAAATATATAATAATAAGAGCCGTCAATTTTTTGAATTATTCAGTGAAAACTGATCACCGCCTCTGGCTGGAAACACCGTAAATCCAATGGAAATGTTTAAGCAACTCGTAGCTCGAAAACGCGTAATGCAAAAGCGCGCCGGGGCACCAGGCGATCGATCCAGGGGATACACATTTTAAAATCCAGAGCCAATGAGAATAACTCCTGCCCTGTCATAAATGAAGCTATAAATCGTATTTAGCCATTCGCCGCCTCCTCGACGATATATTTCGTGGCATCGGGCAACGCAATTTTCTATCGGGATAGTTCAATTTCTAGATCGAGGATTCATATTTAAAAATATCCAAGCCAATCGGACGGGATTAAACAATTAACGATCCACCCTTTGTTTCCCCCTCCCTTTCGCTCCACCGTTACGCCCCCTCCTTTCGTCTCTGTCACACAGTTTCTCCGACCGCCCTCATCCCCTCCCCCTCTCTTGTTTTTCATTTCGCAACCGATTTCGCTGGCGCGTGATGAAACGTCGATCGATGAGCTACTGAATGCATTTTGCACGCGGGCAACGGCCCGGATTGTGTTCGTTAATATTCTATTAGACATCGACAAATGCGTGCCGTGTTTCAACGATGCTACGTTTAATCTCCTTCCCCTCATTATGCATTCAATCTCTCGTAAAGTGAAAATGACGGTAGGCAGAGGTTCGATGTTTCCTCGTTTTCAGATTCAAGAAAAATATTTTTTTTACATTAGGATCGTGAGTTTTCGGTTATGGATAACAGCGGTCCATTTTTGGTAAAAAAATTTATTAACTCTCGGTGGTTAATGTTTGTGTATCTATTCGGTATAATATATTGAAATTTTTATATTTTCCTTTGCCATCGATTTATACTTTAACATTTTATCGATATGAAATCACGGAAATCATAAATTAAATAATATCGAAAAATCTGAAGAAAACATAGAATCGAAAAAATGGATGTCCTCTCTACATCGCGATATTTTATTAAAAGAATTACTTAATCGAATGCTTTAATCGTGCAAAAAAGCCAATTCTACACTAGCCGATCGAAATATCAATTGTTTGTCATGAAATATAATTAAAATATAAAACGAAAATTAGCAAACGGGCGGGAGACACGGTAGAACGATCGCGGCGGAAAGGATTAAGTTAATCGCGCGAAATGGGGAAATTTCAATAGTCGAGCGACTCGCTTCAGAACGCGTGGCAATTATGCGCATGCGCCTCATCGCTTGTAACTCACCGCAATAACAGAATAGGTATAATCAATTTCAACTCTGGCTCGAATTACGATTGTTCGGTTACATCAATCATTAACTCGTTTATCGTGTAACCGGGCTAGTTAGTCACGATCGTAAACCAAACCTATTGAAAGTATAATGCGAACAACGAAACGGTGGAGGGGTCTCGAGGTAACCGTGGTCGCCATGCGTTAAACTAAACAGAGCCATTTTACACGAGGCGCAAACATTACTCGGCAGGGATAATCTAGCATCTACGAACAACTTCTTTCCTGGCTGCCCGCTGCACTCTCTGTCATCCATATTCTAGTTATTTGCGCACGTGCACGGCCCCCAGCTCCTCTATATCGGTGCAGAGCCACGCACACGTGGGTATACCGACGTGTACGCGTGTGTTCAACGCGGGCAAACGCGCGCCGATGGTTACCTACTTAAGTCAGATATTATCGGCAGAGGAGGCAATTCGATTGCGTGTACCGAAGCATGGTGCAGCGCTGATATAGAACTACTAAACAGGTCGTAGATCAGCTCGGTTAGTTATAACGCTGCCTCTGCTCTGTGGCCCTCCCCACCCCTCTTGCCTCCCACTCTACCTCGACGCTGAACCAATTCCCACCGGTGTTCTGGATCATTTGGCGGCTCGCGGCCGTGAGATGCGCGCATGTACTACTGTTGTGTGTGCGCGCTATCGCGATCCTGTAATTCGCCCTTCGATGGACTCTATGATTTTTAGGAACGGAAAAAAAAAAAAAAAAAGACCAGGG